ACTCTTAATGACTCATTCTAAGACCTCCTAATTGGCCGACTCATCAAGGCTGGGCTAGGAAAGAAACGAGCCTAAATGCCGACTCACTATCACTGTCCACAGACACCACCCTCCCACCAGGTGCGCCCACCTGGTCACCCCCCGTCCACAGCAACCACACCACAGACCCGTGTACACACAGAAGCCCCGGCCCGGCACTGCTCAGACCCTGACCAATATTTGCTTCCAACGGTTCCCAGGCCAACTGCAGGTATACAGAGCACACATGCCAATTCCAACCGTCATCCGGAACTTTTACAAATACTAGTGAGAACATTTTAGAACGTTGTAGGTGCAAAAAACAAAAACAAAAACAACCTAAATGGATTTGTGAAACAAAATAAATAAAGTAAGGGGAGCCCTAGCTGGTTTTGCCCAGTGGATAGAGCGTCGGCCTGCATACTAAAAGGTCTGGGGTTCGATTCCGGTCAAGGGTACATGCCCATGTTGTGGGCTCGATCCCCAGTAGGGGGCGTGCAGGAGGCAGCGGATCAATGATTCTCATCATTGATGTTTCTACCTCTCCCTCTCTGAAATCAAGAATATATTTTTTTAAGGAAATATGGAGAAAAAAATCAGTGTCAATTGTTTACCCTAATAAAGAAAAATATACAATAGCAAATAGAAGTTTTTATGAATCTTTCGAAATCTATGAAAATGACAGACAGCCCTCAGTCTAACAAATCACCTTGGAGATGAAATGACATTCATTAAGTACTCTCATTCGTTAAATATCATTATCTATTTGGCTGGTATGTCATACCCCTTGACCCAATAATTACAGCCATAGTGCCCACAAAAATACTGGGCAATCACATGTGTTGATAGTACGATGGCAGTATTTATAACAGAAAAAACTAACCTAAATGTTAAACAAATCGTGGCATACACATTCAGTGGAAAGTATGCTGTCACTAAAAATTATGACTATGTAGTAAAATAATGGTGAAAACGTGGATGGAAACAGCCCATGCCCGCTGCTAGAACGATGATAAAGTTACACATGCAAGTTATGCTGATGACGTGTGGTTGCACTGATATAGGAGTGGGAACGTTATGGGCACTTTTAATTTTCTTCTTCAAACTTGCTAATATTTTACATTACTTTCACAAATTAAAAAAAATACGTCTCCACCGTGGCCATGCCTGGCCTGAACGAAAGTATATTTTAAGTTTAATGCATATTTGCAGTTAGCTCTGTCCTGAGCTGCAGTGAAATGATTTCGCCAGATTTCAGCACGACAGGAACCCGGACAAGAGGACAGAACGGGCTCCCATGAGCTCGGTGAGGCGCCGTCTGCGGGACTCCCGCCTCCTGCCCTGGAGTGCATCATGGGGGGGGCACCAAGCATGTCGCCCAAGTGTGACCCCAGCTTTTACAGGGAGGTCGAGGGTGAGCTCCCAAGGTCACCTCATGACAAGGAGGCTGTTTTCTCGATGAAAGTGGGCACTGTCCTCGCATTCTGAGAAAGGGAATAAGGGAAGCCCAGAGCCCTGGCGCCGGCGCTCTGCCATGAGAGGCAGTGACGTCAGAGCTGGCAGCATCCGCGCAGGGGGGCGCAGGTGACACCGGGCACCCACAGCGCACGGCCGACTCGAACAGACACCGCGGGACAGGAAGCCACCCGCCTCTAAGCCATCATTCCAGGAAAGGCCGCGGCAGGGAGGTGAGGGAGACAAACAGCAAGACACGGCTATTTGTCAGCAGAGAAAATGTCCCTGTTTCTATTTCCTACCTGCACGTACAGGCCCAGGGGGCAGGCCGAGGAGAGAACGTGCGTTCCTGGCGTGGGAGTTACGAGCAAGGACTTCAATCGGCTTAAACAGACGTGGCCGCCGGGCCGCGTGTCACCGGGCCTCACCTGAACCCCAGCTGCCGGCACACCACGTGCGCGTTCAGCTCCGTCCAGCCGTCGTCACAGACCGTCCCCCACTGCCCCCCGTAGTACACCTCCAGGCGGCCCTCGTGGCTGTCCTTCCCCCCTGCGAGTCTGAGGACGCCGTCTGTGAGGAGAGGAGACACAAACATAAGCAAAACAATTCTCAGAAAAGAGCGAAACGGCGTCTCATGTCACCAGAAGCATCGCCAGGGGCAGGTCTCTCTGACTCCAGGCCCGAGGCCGCTGGGTGTTTCCAAGCAGGACACAGGCATCCCTGTCGTCCCTGCTCATCTGCGCGCTCGCTCTCGGAGCAGGAAAACATGCTGCTATAATTCCGTGGTAGCTGTTCGGGTTTCTCTGAATTAAATATTTGGGAAATGTCCTGAGGCTTCAATCGCCTGAGGTCTGAGCAGTATTTGTCACGTAAGCTTCAAAAGTAAGAAAACACAGTAACTTGGAAATAGCTGAAAACTTCAGCTGTAAGGGGGAAAAATTAAAACATGGAGCCCGGACATGA